AGGCTGGAATCTCCCACCATCAGCATCATTCTCTAGGTCCCTGGCCCTCAAACCACAGCTCCCAGCAGAGTCACCAGGAGCGATGTCAAAATGCAGAAAGCTAGCCCCACGGGCGTGGCTCAGTGGTTGAGCATCCACCTATGAACCAGGAGGTCACAGTTAGATTCCCCGGTCAGGGCACATGCCCCAGTTGTGGGCTTAATCCCCAGTAGGGGGCTGGCAGGAGGGAGCTGATCAATGCTTTTCTCTCTCTCTCTCCCTCTCCCTTCCTCTCTGAAATCAATAAAAAGACATTAAAAAAAGAACAAACACACAGAAAGCTAGCACCCTGAGAGGTTCCGGTTCTGGAAGTGTGGGCGCGGCCCGAGACTTTCTGTTCCGAACTAGGGTCACTCTGAGAACCAGGGCTCCAGGTCAAGAGCGTTGCTCTCTGCGCCTTCTATAAAAAGACCAAAGGGCACCGCTGCTAGCTTTAGCCAAAAATTAAAACAGGATGCTTGGTTAAATTTGCATTTCAGATCAACAACAAACAATGTTTTCGTGTCAGTATGTACTGTGCAGTATTTGGGACACACTGTGCTAAAAAACATGTCATATTTGCTGTTGATGAGAAATTCGGATTGAGTGTGACATCCTGTGTTTTCTCTGGCGACCCTGCCAGTGGGTAACGTGAGCAGAGAAGTATGGCCCCTGATCACAGTGGCCATGACCGGAGGGTCCAATAGGAGCAGGCCTCTTGCCCAGTCACTCACAGTGATGAGGGCACCACATTCATATACTGCGTCCGGATGATGGCATGGTGACGGTCAGACCTGGGAGAGAGCCAGACCGGCTGTGCTGGTCAGCTGTGGCTGCCGTGAGAAAGTTCTGTTGTGTATAGGCTACCCAGTCTGCAGATTTTGGTACTGCCGGCCCCGGGAGGGACACAGCAGACACCTGCTGGGGGAGCCCCTAGGATTTGGGAAGGAGGAATCCCAATTCCTAGTGGGAAGGAGCGACTAGGCATGAAGAAAGCAGGGCCCCCGCAGGAATCAGAAACCAGCCGGCCAGTACCTGAGGTTTCCGGTTTTCCAGGGGGGCCTACGAAATTGATTAAAACAATAAAAAATATTGTATCTTGGACTAAAAAAAAAAGCTGTAGCAATTTAAATTAATAAATGTTTAACTCAATGCCTATTAAACCTTGTTAATTGTTGACTTTGGTATTCATAAAAATTTAATTATGTTCGGAAAACAATCTGAGGCTTAGCTTTTCTCACTTCCAGAGAACTCCTTACTATGCATAATAATGGCCAGGAAACCCAGCCAATCGTAAATTAAACAAGCTTAGAGCCAAATCATTTCAAAAGTGAAATTATTAAAATCTGATTATTTTTATGGGAGGAGGGAAGGACTGGATGTGGCATGAGAGAGTGTTTTAACATGCTCGGTGCACTCCGGGGTGAGATCTCCAAAAACAGGGTTTCTTTAGGGGCCTTCAACGATCCTAAGAGGTCCCAGGGAACACGGAAGGAGGCAGGCTTCCTCTCACCAGGAACCCACAGAGGGCAGGATGGTGGGGAGGGAAGCCCCCTGAAGCACAGAAGAGAAGGCAGGGAGGTGGTCCCTCAACTGTCTAGGTCAAAAAGAGGAATAGACCTCAAGGCTCTCCAGACCCCCCTCAGACTGAGCTGGGTGACAAGACCAGGACTGGGAATGCGGCTACTGTAATGAGGTCATCTGAGAAGTCCTGTGTAGTGGATTGAATGGTGGCCCCCAAAAAGATCCCAACCCCTGACACCTATGGATGTGTCCTTACTTGGGGAAAGGGTCTTTATGGGTGTAATTAAAGATCTCGAGATGAGATCATCCTGGATTAACCGCTGCGTCCCTCCCTGGGCACATGGACTTACAAAAAAACAGAAGGGGAGAAGGCAGGACACAGCAAAGGAGGCCATGTGAAAACAGAGGCAGAGATGGAAGTGATGGGGCCACAAGGCAAGGAATGATTGGAGCTGGAATAGACAGGGAAGGATTCTTTCTTAAAGGAGAGAGAGAGAGAGAGAGAGAGAGAGAGAGAAGGTAAGAGGGAGGGAGGAAAACATCTCTGTGCTAACGGGAACTATCTCAACCTAAGAGGCAATTCAGCCCATGAAACCTGACAAC